ACCATCTTACAATGAACTGTTGGTATTTTTCTGTCTTAGCAGTAATAAAATTATAGCATTTGCTACAATCAGAGTAGATTAAATACTATAAACATGAATTTTCCTCTTGTCATCAAAGACCATTTCTCTAAAAACTTCACTTAGGAAAAAAGCTGCTAGTCTGGTTTGAATTTCGCAATACATAAAAGCAATGAACATATTTTGCTTTTTTTAAAAAAAAAATCCGTAATTATTAATTCAAGTTACCACTCCTCAACAAAAAACGTACAAGATTCTCACATATGTAGTCATTACTTTCTGGGCTTGATTTCTAAACTAAGAAGTGCATGAACTCTAAGGGTTCTTTTAGCTCTTAAAGCCTAGGATCCCATAATTATATTTATCAATATTAAGCTTACCACAAAGTTTCTTATTTCTTCTTTTCTACCCAATCCTGCTCTACAGTTCCAAAATTAGCAAGTCTTAAGAAAGTGGCCAATGGTTTGTTTACTGTGATATATAACAATGAGGCTTAAAAAGCAAAGGAGATCCTTGGGAAATAAGATCTTAAAAAACTCATCACTACTTTTGAGCTTTCATATGAGAATAATCTTAAACCACTTTCTGCATTTGGATCCAGTTTTCAAGATTTAGAAAATCCACTCGTTTTCAAAGACAGAGTGACCATTATATAATACAACCAATAATTTGTAGAACACATTTATAAACTTGGACAGGAACAACAAAAGTATAATACTTATATTTAAGATCAGAAATGTCCATGTGTCCCCTATGGTATATGATATCATTTTTTTTCAGTCACTTTTAAAATGAATTCACTCAACTATATCATGATCTCCCCATTATTAGGTTTTTAATCTAGCAGCCCAACTTACCCGGACAAGTGCATCATCTATGATATGGTCACGTCTAACTTTGAGTCTCAAATATGGATTCAACTGCTGTCCTTGAACTAAGCTGTAGAGAACAGTGATTCTTCGTTCACTGTACATGCGAATTCTATTGTCATAATATAATCCCAAATTCTTTGTGACAGCATTCAATATAAAGGGACATGTCATAAAAGAGAATTTGTTCTCTGTTTCTACTTTGAAAAAAGTATAATCTTTATCCATTTCTAGAACCTCATTGAGTGGTTCATTAATAAACTCTTCAAAAGGGATAAGTGGTTTTCGACAATCCAGGGTTTTAACACCAAGTTCAGTTTCCAGGGGGTCCACTCGAGGACCTTTCTTGTTTCTTCTTTCTTCTCCCAAAAGCTCCTGAAGTGTCAGCTCACTGGACTCAGGGATGGGCTCTTCATCATCTTCTTCATTGTGATTTGTGTCCACTTCCCCTCCTACTACGTTTGCATAGTAAACCA